CCTCTGGCTGGTTCAATTCTGAAGTTGCAAAAGCACATGCGTGAAATTTTCATGTGTTCGTACGTGAGATGCAGAAGAGCTGACAAGTAATTTACTTTCACGGACACGATAGTGGGCGACAAGTAACGCTGCAGAATTGCAGCTCTCTGCAGCTTATTGATCACCTCAAATCTGGAATTGGCATGATGCCAGTTTAAACTTTAACATCTGCGTACATAAGCCCTGAGGGTGCGTGAAGGCTGAATTTGAAATTGAATTAAACGCGGCCAAAGAACAACTTTGTGAAGTTAAAGCCTCCTAGTCGAGGCCGTTCTCGAAAACGCCTTCCCGTCAAAAAAACTTTCACGTGCCCTTACGTGAGAACCACGCGGATCTGAGCGCCCATTTTGAGGACACGAGCCCGAACGTAAATGTAGATTAAGCCACCAAATTTTCAGCCTTGTGGTTTTTGTGGATCTCGAGATGAAAACTCGCTACAGACGCACACACAGACACACATACACACACAGACAACCCCTCGACAATATTGGTTTTTGCATTGCACAGCTGCAAAAAAACGCATAAAAAAGGAAATAAAAAAGACTGCTGGGACTTTCTACCAATCAATTCGTTTCATCCACGAACAGTCCTTGCAAAATAAACGAAATGCTGCAAAAGTACAGTGCAGAAAGTACAGAAAATGGCCACCGGAATAAAGGCAACGAAAAAAAAGCGAAACAAAATAAGGAATTCTTATGCCTAAATGCATACTATTTGGGACACGAGTACGTATCACATCTTTAGTTTACTGAAATAAGCACAAGCCGCCAAGCAGCAAAACGCTAAACAAGAAAACGTGCGTCTGCCATATTCACAACCCTGTATATTTTAAATGAATTTGGTTAAAATAAAAGGAGAAAAATCCGCTTTAAACTGGTCAGTTACAAAAAAAAAACCAAAAAATGAAAACAAATTTGAAGAATTACATAAAATATCAGCAAGGAACCTCCGAGAAAACGCCATGATATTTCCGAAACACTTCTTCCCTGAGATCGAAATTAGAGCCGACACGAAGCGATTGAAGCTCGAAACCATCCACAATTCTGTTTCCAAACTCCAGTGTGTCAGCTAACTGCACCAGAATTTGAATGATTTCAGCGGAACTGTTGTAAACGTAAGTTAAGTTATAGATAATTTGTATAGCTGCATCGTCGCTCTGTTTATATGCAAAAATCGAAGAAAGATCTCGGAAAACATAGCTGCTGTTCACCGAATATAATGAACGAGCAACGCTTTCCAGCAACACTAAAAGATGAGTGAAACATTATTTCAAGTAATTTTGAATAAGCGAATTGCAACATCCAGGTTGACCTTGGAAGCGCAAATGGTGAAGGTGCAATGGAATTCAGAAACAAAGAATAGTATAGGAGAAAAGGCAAGAGTGAGATAAGACGTTTTGGTCTATTAAGTCATTTACGCCTTAACACTGCGACGTAAATAAAATCGCTGGATTACAGCACTGAAATGATAAACAGAAACAATTTTTATACACTCATACCGGTACAAATGTGCCATTCTTGCACCACCACTGCTGGTTTTTTCACGTGCGTTAACTTTAGCTGCCCTGATGTTACATTCAAATCGCAGTGGTAACCAGCACTTCCGGTAGCTTCACATGTATAAGTTCCAAGAATCTTTGTGCTTCATTCTGTTACGGTTATAGTTGTCAGTGTACAAGGTACGCGGGACAATTCTTCATCCGAAGCTATCCTTTAAAAAAACCCCTTTCTCTATGACTTATTCTCAGATTAGAAATTCGACGAGAAGCACTTGCTACGTTGTGTACTCTTAGTAAATCGTACTCAAAAAAGAAAACTATCGAGAGACTAGTACCAGAAGTTGCACTTCAACTAAACAAACACACATAAGCCAATATTTTTACAGTGAAATATTTTAGAATTACACCACTAGCAACTGGTCCAGTCTCACTGAGAAAACAAAAAATTTCGAAGAAATGTCGGGGAACAAAAAATAATTAAGTTAGGACAAAATCTCGATTTCGAAAAGTCCCTACTGAGATCCGAATGCTTTTGGACTCCGTAACAGCTTACCAGACTTATCGAATCGTGAGGAATAGATGTTAATCCATGTTTTGTTAAACGACGGATGATTCGCATTGATGAAATCATCGGCAGAGAACCTCAGAGATTGTGATTCGGCAGTGGCAACAGCCTTTTGACTTATCATGGGATCGAATTTCCGTCCAAAAAACGCCGGTTTTTTCTGCGCAGCCTGGAAGAATAATCTTTTTTTTTTTTTTTT